ATGAGAGTTAGCATATACTATATCCTCTTTAACATGTGCTCTATAATACATGTCTTTTTAATTTACCAATGTGTCTTGGAAATCATTCCATATCAATTTAGAGAGAATTTCTTCATTCTTTTTTTTTTCTTTTTCCTAAAGAGACAGGATCTCACTCTGTTGCCCAAGCTGGAGTGTAGTGGTGCAATCATAGCTCACTACCACCTTGAATTCCTGGGCTCAAGCAATCCTCCTGCCTTAGCCTTCTGAGTAGCTAGGACCACAGGTGCACACTACCACACCTGGCTAATAAAATTATTTATTTAGAAGGTATCTTGCTATGTTGTCCGGGCTGGTCTCAAACTCCTGAACTCAAGCAGTCTTTCTGCTTGTCTCCCAAAGTGCTATTATAGGTATGAGCTACCGTGCCAGTTCCTTCCTCATTCTTGATTTCACTTGCACAGCACTTTTTTTTTGTTTTTTGAGTTAGAGTCTCACTCCTTTGCCCAGGCTGGAGGGCAGTGGCACGCATGCTTACCCCAGCGTCCACCTTCTGGGCTCCAGCAATCCTTCCGCCTCAGCCTTCCGAGTAACTGGAACTACAGACGCACGCTACCACACAGGCTATTTTTTATTTGATTGTAGAGACAAGGTCTCACCAAGTTGCCCAGGCTGGTTTCGAACCCGCAGGTTGAGGCAATCCACTTGCCTCGGCCTTCCAAAGTGCTGGGATTACAGGCTGAGCCGCTGAGCCCAGCCCACAGTACTTTATTGTATAGATAGACCATAGTTTATTCGGTGTCTCATCCATTTAAGACATTATTATTAATATTATAAGACATAATAATCAATTACTGTTTTGAAGTACAAATAATACTGCAGTGAAAACCTTGTGCATATGTGTTATTGTCAGATATCTTCAGAGAAGGACTAGAAATAGAAGGACTGGCTCAAGAGATGAACACAGATGTAGTTTTGTTGGATGTTGCCAAATTCACCTAGAGGGTTCTACCAGTTTCCATTTCCACCAACACTGCATGAGTGTAAATGCTTTCCCAGGTCTTTCCAGAAGAATGTGTTGTCTAGCTTTTAATTTTAGCCATTGTGATAGGTGAGAAATAATACCAGTGTTGTTTTAATTTTGTATTTCTTAATTACAATGCCTTTTAATATGTTTAAAGGCCATTTTCTTATCTTTTCCCAATGAATTGTATGCTTATAGTTTTCCTTTTTCTGTTGTGTGTCAACTTCTAAAGATTCCTTATAGTCGGGTAATATCTCTTTGTGTAGTATGTTGGCTGAATTTTTTTCCCATCTTTTTCTTTTTTCATTTTCCAGGTGGAAGGGCTTTTGTGTTTTCTTTTTTTGTTTTGTTAATGATTTTTAGTTTTTTTGTATTTTAGTCAGAGGCTGGAGTTTGCCATTTCTTCTTTATAGAACCTACTTATGTTTTTATTGTGACCTGCTTTTTGATAAATATTTGTTAATGTTCTCTGGGCCCATGTGAAGAAAATAAACTTTTTTATTACAAAGGGAGCAAGATTAATATGTATGTATAAAAATACTTCCCCCCCCCTTTTTTTTGAATCAGTGTCTCTGTCACTCAGGCTGGAGTGCAGTGGCATGGTCATGGCTCACCCTAGCCTTGACCTCTTGGGCTCAGGTGATCCATCTGACTCAGCCTCTCTAGTAGCTGGGTCTACAGGGACACTACCATGCCTAGCTAATTTTTTAATTTTTTTGTGGAGACGAAGTCTCACTGTGTTGCCCAGGTTGGTCTCAGACTCTTGGGTTCAAGCAGTCCTTTTGACTTGGCCTCCCAAAGTGCTGGGATTACAGGCGTGAGCCACCACACCTGACTTATTTCCTTTCTTAATATATTTTTTAGGCCTCTGTTTTCTTACTTAATTTTGCACACGTAATCTTATATTAAGAATGGTATAGTAAAGTCTCCTTACTATTGTGTTTCTATATGTGTCTTTGTGTTTCTACATAAAGGTGATCATTGTCTTATTCGATATGTAGATATTTATAAATATTATCCCTTTATTGTGATTTAAAACTTTTAGCATTTATGCGAGATCATCCTTGTCGAGTTTAGTGTTTTGTTTTGTTTTTTCCCATGGATTTCACTTTGCCTGATTTCAGGGGTTGCTTTTTTATTTGCTAGTAATACTTTGTACTTTTTTTTATTGTTTGTATTTAACATTGTTTTAGGTATATCTCTTGTATGTGCAGCATACAATTGGATCATGCTTTGTGGCCAAATTTAATGTGTTTTTCTTTCTTTCTTTTGCAAGGTAAATTAAGCCCATTCACATTTATTGGTATGATTTTCATATTTATTGATTATTATTTATATATTTGATCTCAGCTCTATTATCATATTTTGTAGTTTTGTGTCATGTTGAATTTGTTGTATTTCCTTCTCTACTACATGTTTATTTTACCCTTGAATTTATATTTCTATTGCTATTTAGAAAGGCTATATTTTTGTTTTATTGGTTGCTTTTATACGTACAACTTTTAAATTCCCTTATTACACTGTTTTGATGTCTAACTTTGTACTGTTTAGTTTGTCTTAGAGGGATTCTTTAATTGCCTGTTGCTATACAATAATCAGTGAATGTATCTACTTTCCTCTTTGTCCCTCCTTCTATTTTTTAGTTTCATTATTTCTACTTTGTCATAATATATAACAGTTGTGTATTAGTCTTTTAACTTAATTACCAGCTTTGTTTTAGTCTTAGATGTATACTTTTTGTGTATTAATATGTTTGTATCAGCGCCCCCCCCCGAAATGTTTCCAGTTACCAGTTGCTTGAACAAAGCTCATGCTTTGGTAAAGTCTTGAGAAAGATCTCATTAATATGACATTCCCTATGCTCTTGTATGTTTAAAGCTTTTTTTCTATTGACGTGGTACTTAAAGGACAGTATTGATGGTCTAAAATTCTTAGTCTACACTTTTAAAAAACTTGACTCTTTTGAAAATGTGTCTCCATTGTTGCTTTGTTTTCTATGTTGTTTTTAAAGAATCTGTGTCAGTCTAATTGCTTTGTCCTTCTAAGTTATTTGATCCTTTTGCCTAGAGGCCTTGAAGATTTTCCCCCCATTATCTTGAACAATTAATAGTTTTACTAGAATATGTCCTGTATTTGATGAACCTTCCAGGTTCATTTTCTAAAGTACCCATTATATCTGGTTTCCATTCGTTCTGTCCCATTGTTTTGTTTTTCTTTTGGGGAGTTCTATTATATGAATGTTATTCCTTCTTTGCCTGTATCTGATTCTTCTTTACTTTTCTTGGCTGTTTTTCTGATTTTCTTCAGTGCCCCATTGTTTAGTCTTCAGTGAGTCCATTATCCTTGCATACTTTGTAATTTAGATTCAGTTCTGAGATGCTTTTATTTCTTCTATCACCCTCATTTAAAATTTTCTTTTATTTTTTTATTTTATTTTTAATTTCTTTCTCTTTTTATTTATTTTTAATTTTTGAGCTTTTGACTCAAACAATTGTTTATATTCCTAAATGCTAGTTTTAATTATATTTAATTTAGTTTTCAAGTATTAGTTTATGTTTTTCTTCTGCTTCTTGGCTTTGCTTTTCTGGGAAGAAGAGTTGGATTCTGAATTTTCATCAGTTGAAGTTTTATCTTTTGAATTGGCTTTCTGATTTTGGGGTAGTGTTCTCTGTAGTTTCTTTGCTTTTGTTTTGGTTTTGTAGCTTTCTTAGTTCTCTGGTGCCCTCTTCTGTTAGTGTAACAAAGCACACCTTTTAAAGTAGGTTTTTGTTATTGGTGGGAGGTGGAGGATAGTTTTGTAAATCCTTTTTTTTAAGGTATGCTTTAGCTTGTGCAACCCTGAATTTTCTTTTTTTATTCTCTTACGTCTTCCCATCCAATTACAAAGGCTGTCTTTCACTTTCTTTTACCCCTTTCTCTTCCATTGTAACCATATTTTTGAAGACTGTCACTTCACATTGGGCATAGTTGTACATCATTTTTTTGTAGTCTCTGCTCAGGTTTAACAAGGATACTTTTTTAGGATTTTCACACTTGTGGTAACTGACTCTTTCTGGTTGCAATTTTAGATCAACCTTAGCATCTCACCCTTCTCTCTCCTCTTTTTCCCTCAGCTTTTCTTTCTCTCTCTCTCTCTCTCTCTCTCTCTCTCTCTCTCTCTCTCTCTTCTTTTTTTTTCTTTTTCTTTTTCTGTTGGAGTCTTATTCCATTGTCCACACTGGAGTGCAGTGGCCACTCCCAGCCACCGCAGCCTCGACACGCTGGACTCTGGCGATCCTTCCATCTCAGCCTTCCAAGTAGCTGGAACTACAGGTGCGTGCTACCACGCCTGGCTAATATTTTGATTTATTGTAGAGATGAGGTCTCGCCAAGTTGCCCAGGCGGGTCTCGAACCCGCTGGCTGAAGCAATCCACTCACCTCAGCCTCCCAAAGCACAGGATTACAGGCTGAGCCACTGAGCCTGGCTTCCCTCAGCTTTTCTCAGCATACTCTTGCTTACTTCAAAGGCTTATTGGCCATGGAAGTGTTAATAGTCATCTTCCTGGGTTTTGGCTGGCCTGCTGACTCCCTTTTCTTCTCCCTCTTCCTCCCCCTTTCTCCCTTCCCCTCACTCTTCTCTCCTTTCTTCCTTTTAAATTATTTTGAAGTTTAGACATTTTTTGTTTTCAAATTATGGAAAAGGCATGGTATTTAATAGTTTTACTTGTTCTTTTTCTTGCTCTAAATTGTTTTTTGAGGAAGTACTTAATGATACAGACCTTGGCAGTTGTTATTGTTTTTAACTCTCTTAAGAATAATTTGAGGCCTAGAATAGTAGAAACTTTTCCTGAAAACATTTTTATTTGATTTTATGGGACATTCAGAGGAACTATCAGTCTGTGATTGCCTTAGTTCATTTTCATAGTCTGAGGCTCTCTCTATTGCCCAGGAAATGTGACACCTGATTGCAAGTCTGTGTAAGGACTGGGTTACTTTTGTGTTCATCTTAATTTAGGAATGAGTCCTTCAGGGCTGTTTATCAAGCACCTCACTAGCAGCAAGTCTTGCACTTTTGTTTCACTTGTCAAGGTGAGTTGTCACAACCAATATTCAGGTTTTCAGTTGATCTGTTGGATAGGCAGATACTCTCAGTGCTTCTCTCTGGCTTCCTCTTGGGTTTTTTCCTGGCTTTGTGTTTCCTATAGAGTTTTGCTCAGTAATTTCTCTCTATTTTGTTACTTCTTCAGTGCTTTTAAGGATGTTTTAGCAACATTTGTTAGGAGGTTTGGTTCTAACTATCCAAACCAACATTGCTAGCATTTTTATTGTAGCATTTTTAATTTTGGATTTCCTCAGACTTCAGGTAAGAATTCATTTGCTCAGTTATCCAGCTTGAACCAATTGCCTAGCAAGTAAAGAACTGTTGCTAACAATGAGGATACTTTATTTCAGGGGTAAAGCAGTTTATGACTAATGCCTGTAATTAATAATGATGCTGTTGATGGTGATAATGAGGAAAACTTATTTAGCCATTGGAATGTGCCAGCACTCTATTTTTCAGGCATTATTTTAATTGTAGTAAAATCTAATAAGTTACTATTATTATTCTGGTTTTACAGATTATTCCTTGAGCCTTAGCTGCCATATCATTTGCCTAAGTTTATATGGATAGTAAGTGACAAAAATATATTTCAGTCCCTGTCCTGGCTTTGGAGATCTGGGACTAGCAAATTATAACATGCTTCCTGCTTTCATGGACTTTATAGGATTTAATTCCTAGACACTGTAGGATGGTCAGGTATTAATTTTAGAGTCTGAAAGCCTGATTTACTAGTGTTTCCACTGGAATTGAGGATAATGTTTCTTGTTGAGAAATGACTGTAAGTGCATGCAAATGAAAAACAGATCAGCAAAGTCAGAACACATTGTTTTTTAATTCTCTTAAGATCTTCCATACCATGTAGAACAGTGCTTTGTTCAGAATTTGTACAAAGTAAATGTTAATTTCATTATGCTTATTGACTCTAAGACATAATGGGTCTTATTTCCATATTATAACTTAGAGTTGAACATATTTATTTGTTTATTTTTTTAGTTGGAGTTTCACTCCATCACCCAGGCTAGAGTGCAGTGGCATGCTCATGGTCATCCCAGCGTTGACCTGCTGGACTCAGGCTATCCTTCCACCTCAGCCTTCCAAGTAGCTGGAACTACATGCGTGTGCTACCATGCCCAGCTAATTTTTTGATTTATTGTAGAGATGAGTACTCGCCAAGTTGCCCAGGCTGTTCTCAAACCCATGGACTCAGGCAATCCCCTCACCTTGGCCTCTCAAAGTTCGAACATATTTTTTAAGCAGGATTTTTAAGTTATTCGATATAGTCGGGCCAGGATAGTATTTATTTATTTATATTATTTCTCTTGGTTTATAGTTATTTGCTGATGTAAAGGATGGAGAAAGCCTACAGCTCTTTGAACAAAGTTCTCGCTCTCCCCATAAACAAGAAACACACACCATGGAGGCCATGAAGCTCATAGAGTTTGATCTTAAGCAAACACTTACCCGACTTATGACACATCTTTTTGGAGATGGTAAGTACTTAAACACAGTATTCCTTATCCAAAATGTTTGGGACAAGAAATGTTTCTGGTTTCGTATTTTTTTTGTAGTATTTTGGAACGTTTGCATATATATAATGAAATATCTTAGAAATGGAATCCAAGTCTAAATGCACATTTCATTTGTTTCATAGATACCTTATACACATAATCTGAAGGTAATTTTATATAATAGTTTAAATAATTTTTTTCATGTGGCACAGATTTTACTGTGTTTTGATTATGACCCATCGCAAGAGGTCAGGTGTGGAATTTTGGTGCCTAAAAAGTTTCAGATTTTGGAGCATTTTAGATTTCAAATTTTTGGATTAGGAATTCTCAACCTGTACCTTTGTCTTTAGAGGCTTAGATGTTTAATAGTTTCCATCTTCCAAATAATTGAGGCTGGTTGTATCTAGATTTTTTTGGTCTGAGTTGTGACTTATTGATTTCAGTACTTAGTGGGGTAGAACTTATGGATTGCCTGGTTCGTTCTATTTGAGGAGGAGGAGGGTATGAAAATAGTTAGAGAAAGAAAAATGATCACAACTTTATTATTGATAAGAATGATAATGGATAATGATAATAGATTAGGATCAATGTCATCAGTGGAGGGAGACATTGTGTATGACTAATTAGTTTTATATGATTATATTACCATTGGATCAGACTTGATGAAAGGAGCAAGGTCTTAGCCATGTGAATGAGTCCAGTGGAAAACCTTACATATTGACATCTACTGTCAACAGCAAAAATATCAACAGTGTATTCTCATAGGAGGAATAATTGCCAAAATCTAGACTCTTATTTAGGAATAATTGCCCTCAATTATGTTTCCAAAAAAATTTGTCAGTAATGCCATTTTCCCCCTTCAACTACTTCTAACTTATCTGAGATAAAATTTTGCTTGCTTTCAACAAGGTATGAAGAGAAAGAAGATTTTCCTAATTGTGACCTACACTTAAGAAATGCCAGGAAAACAGAAGCCTATTGTGGTTATTAGTCTCCTTTAATTTTCTTATTCTTGTGAGCTTTTTAATTTTTTAAAATTTTTATTTTAAAGTTGTGGGTTACAATTCAGGGTTAGATATACAAATGTCATTATGCAGGGCTTTTTATTTTTTAAAAACAGCTTTATTGAGGTGTAATTGACATAAAATAAGCTATACATATCTTAATTGTGCAATTTGGTAAGTTGACATACAATGAGCTGAACATATTTACAAAATCTTATAAATATGACATATGTGTAGACACATGAAAACACCACCAGAATCAGGATAATGAGCATACCCATTACTCCCAGAAGTTTCTGCTAATTGATGATCTCTCCATCCTGTTTTTCCCCATGTCTCTCCTCATGTAACTTGTGGTCTGCCTTCTATCACTATTAATTAGCTTTCATTTTTTAGATTTATATAAATAAAATCACGTTGTGTATACTTTTTGGGGGGGGATCTGGCTTGTTTTTCTTTGCATAATTAATTTGAGATTCATTCACATCGTAGCGTATATCAATAGTTCATTCCTTTTTATTGCTAAGCATTTCATTCTGCAGTTTGTTTATGCATTCACTCATTGATAGATAACTGGGTAGTTTTCCATTTTTTGCTCCTATAAGTAAAGCTTCTAAGACCATCCATGCATGAGTCTTTCTGTGGTCATAAGCTTTCATTTCTCTTTTGCGGAAGTGGTTGTACCATTTCAGATTTCTACCAATAGTGTATGAAAATTTCAGTTGCTCTACATCTTCAGCAGCATTTGTTATGATTAGTCATGTTAATTGTAACCATTCTAATAGGAATGTTGTAGTATATCAAATAAGCATTCAGCATTTATAAAGAATTCCTCCAAAAATAAATAAATAAATAAATAAAAGCAGCCTGAGAAAGAAATGGATAAACATTAGGGTGACAAATGATTTATCTAGAATGACTAATAAACATATGAAAAAATATATACCTTTATTAGAGAAAAACAAATGAAAACCACCAGGAGCCTTCTCAGATGGGTAATAATTTTTTAAAAATCTAACATTTGTATGTGTTGGCAAAGATGTAGGGAAACATAGAGTTCTGGCTTCATGTTGAAGTCACCATTCCTGTAGCTGGGAATGTTATAGTACTCACTAGTCTTGTTTCACCTCTATTTTTTTCTCTCCTCCAGATTTTCTCTATGTATGTGTGAATTCAAATATGTATTTCAAGAAATTCTTGTAATTTATTAAGTCTCTGCTTCTCTGTTTTAGCAAAGTTTGTTAGAATATTTTGACAGCCATATTGTTAAATACAGAGTTCATGTAATATTTAAGAAACTGCTAAATATTCCTGTATATTCTTTATTTACATATGAGGGCAGACCCAAGGAAACCCTGAATTATCTTTCTGGAGGGTGGACCCCTTGTAGTACAGACATCCCCTGCTAGGTAAGTGTTCTAGGAACCCATCAACATCTGTGTACCAGCTAGCATTATTATGAGAGGTTCTGTTCAGCCTCAGTGAATTTTTTTGGAGATTCTTTCAGCACATTTTCCCAGTTCATGATAGGTGATTTATAAGTGCATCTGCCTACATCATGCTGAGTGTTCAGCAGTTGTTTTTTTTTAACCAAAAATGCTATGACCCCCATGTCCCACCTTCTCTATTCACCCAATCTTGCCCAATGACTTTTTTTGTTTCCTGGATGAAAAAAACTCCTCAAAGGGATATATTCTGCTAACGCAGAAGAGGTGAAACAAAAAACAGCAGAAGCACTAAAAGCCATCAAAATTGACAAGTTCAAAAACTGGAGTAGTGGAAAAAGCAACTCAATAGGTGCATTGCATCAAACAGAGTACTTTGAAGGTGACTGAAGTTTAAAAATGCAAGAATAAATATGCAATTTTTTTAAAATTTAGAAAACAGGGTTTATTGAGACGACAGAAAAGCTCCCACAGTGAGAGGGGACCCGAGAGGGTTGCCCCAAATACACAATTTTTAATAAATAAATTCCAAGGTTTTTTGGGTCCCTCCTTAGATATTTTCAAAAAGAGCACATCAACTTCAGGATAGTGTCTTTTTCTGGGAGGTAGGAGATATTATTAAGGAGGGTGGTAAACCATGCTTCAAATGTGTTCATAATGTTTTATTTTTAAGAAAGTAAAGTTAAATATGACAATGTTATGATTTGATAAAACTGAATAATGGGTGACTGGGTGGTTGCTATTTTCTATTTGTCTCTACATTTGCTATATTTCATATTAAAATGGTATAATATGATTGGGCTTGGTGGCTCAGCTTGTAATCCCAGTACTTTGGGAGGCGGAGGTAAGTGAATTGCCTGAGCCCTCAGGTTCGAGACCAGCCCGGGCAACTTGGCAAGATCTCGTCTCTATAATAAATCAAAAATTAGTTGGGCGTGGTAGTGTGCGCCTGTAGTCCAGCTATTTGGAAGACTGAGGCAGAAGGATCGCTGGAGTCCCACAGGTCGCTGCTGGTGTGGCTGTGAGCGTGCCACTGCACTCCAGCCTGGGCGACGGAATGAGACTCCAACTAAAAAAAAAAGGTATAATAGTGAAGCAGGTTTCAAATAGATATTGCTGATGTGAAAATTCCTTTATAGTTGATGTCTCTTTACTTTCATGATAAAAGAATAACATTGTGATATTTTTAACAATAATATAATCTATTTAGCACAAATGCAGGGAGTTGGATTGTGTTGTTCAGGCTATTTTATAGGCAGGGTAGGAGAGAAGGGATTCTAGTGTTTGAAGGAGATAATATGCTGTCTCTAGTAGCTTACAGAAAGAGTCAGGCTCACCTGAATTTTTCTGTTGTCAAACTATGGAGATAATTTTTCTAGGGTCTTTCTACACATTTCTATTGTCAAATGATTTGCTGTTTGTGAGGTTTAGACACTGGATTTTCACCTGGGTGCTGGCATCACAATACTGAGTAAGCTAGATAGAATCCCTGTCTTCAAGGAGACATGGATTCTTAAATCCTCTTCTAGAGAAATGTAAGCTGTTCTGCAAGCACACAGAAGAGGCACCTCCTCCAAGACTAAGCGTGTGCTTCAGGAAGCTTCCTGGTGGAGAACATGCAAGCCTACACCTAGAAGATACCTAGGAATTTGCTAGGTGAAGGGGCTGAGGGACTAAGTAGGGGGAAGAACAAAAGAAAGAGTGAAAATGACAAAGTAAGCAACACAAGTATGAGAACAAGAACAATGCAGCTCAGCATTACAGAAAGTAGAAAAGAGGTGAAAGGAAGAAAAATAATTGACAGCAACATCTTATGGCCTTGGAGAAATGGTAGTGTAGAATCAGAAAAATTAAAATCAAGTTCTCTTTCATCTACTACTCTGATGTCTTGAGCAAGTCATTTAGTGTTTCAGGCCTCCTTTTTCTAACTTTTAAAAGTTAACACTTCATGAAAGAATAAAACAGTTAACATATGAAAAAACGTGTAAATATGAAAAAATAGAAGGAGGAAGGAAGGGAAGAAAAATTAGGACAAGGCAATAAAAACAGGGAAGCGATGAGGAAAGAAAGAGTAATATAATCAAAGGACACTAGTAATGGTTGATTGTTTTTATTTTGTCTAATGAAATGAGTCATAGCTTTTTATGGCACAGCAGTCTTATTGGTGTTGATAGTGGCTTTCACATCCTCATTGCGCACCAGCAGCTATTTTAAAAGTTAAACAATGTGCTAGACCCTGTATGGATTATAAAACTTTCCCAGGTACTTGAGGATATACATTTCTCTGAATATGGTCCTAGATTTTCCTTTGTGTTAATATTTTTAACATTTGTATTTGTAGTTTTCAAAGCCATGCAGTGAGGCAAGAGTTTCCAGGTAGCAATTTTCCTTATAAAAAACCATTTCTGCAATATTTGACCTTTCTGACTGTGATGCCTATCTTGACAGGATGGGAATGCTCTTGGGCAAGACTTAAGAATCTTGAATTTTGGCCGGGCTCGGTGGCTCAGCCTGTAATCCCAGAAATGTAATC